GGCTGTCATTAAAATTTACTAAAAGAACCAAAGAGGTCTGACTTATTGCACGATCCACATCCTAAGCATGGATGTTGTTGCTCGGGATTTCTGTTGTTGCAGAAAGTGGAGGAGAGGAGAAAGCAGACACTGTTGTGTCTGAATTTCCTGAACTGTATGACACGAGTTTGCTTTTGTTGTAATGAAACCTCGTGAGGAAAATCTGATCTTGGAAAACGGTCTCCATCTGAGTCAGCATGTCAGCTGTGTTCATACTCAGTCAGTGCTTTAACAGTCTCGTGCTCTTCTCATTATAGGTCAGTGATATGTGTAAAAAGAGCTCAGGTTTGTTACGTGATCCCCAAAATAGCTGTAAAGACCAACTGAAAGTTCTTAATTGTAGTAATGAGGTGTAATTTTCATACAAAATATCCTCCTGGTTTAGTGATTTAGTCCCATGCACCGAACCAGACTACTTCACAAATCGACAATTGCTTCTTAGTTTATTTTTAATTATATATGTTTGGGTTTAGAATCAGATTCTTTATTGTAAAAAAAAACAAAAAACCTCAACATTCAAATGGTTCCATTTTTGTATTTTGTGCTTATGACTGGACTGTACCATTAGCTCCAACTGCCAGCTATGGACTCAGTCACATGATCACATTAGAGTCTATGTAGCAACTCTGAATATACAAATAGTTTATCAGCTACCCTATTTTGGGAGAGTTTAGGAACACATGTGAACATTACCCACACACTGAAGTCATGGGTGTGATATTGTTCTCACTGTTGCTGTTCAGAATCAACAGAGTAGTAGCCTCCAAATATCTTTATATCATGAATAATTGCCTGTAGGCTACATTTGAATTAATGACTGAGTGGCTATGAATGAATAAATAAACAAGCAAGTGTGAAAACAGGATTATTATACTAACGTTATTGATGATATATTGTCTATAAAAATGTATTCACATTTAATATTGTAGCTGATAATAATGTGCTGCATAGGTTAGACCAGGACTGTGCTACTGGTTCCCTGGCTGGCTCTAAGCTACTCCCCCCCCAGTGCAAATGGTACAGTCCAACCACAAGCGCAAAACAGTTACATGGAAAATTAAGCTGAGAGACAACCATCCATTTGTGAAGTAATTTAAAACATAGAATAATTAAAGTTTCAAGCTCATTTTTGTCATTCCTGCAAATGGAACAAACAACTTGCAAAGTGCTACACGGACCCATTCGTCTTCGGGAGACTTGTTGACAAGTAAACACAGTATGGAACATACAATTAAATGAACAAACGCAAGCCCAAGCCAACTCTCACACGACAAGTTCCTGCTGTCTTTGAAAACACTTGTCACTCCCTCGTATGTAACTGTTTTGAACCCGATGGCGAGCCTCACCATGACATGGAAGAAGATGTGTTCGCAGGTCTCTTTTCCAGGAAGCAGCGTCAGGTTTTGAGGCTGCAGCTTGCTCGGGTTGTCCAGTACGGCCCGAGGATTGAAGCGTCTCTCCGCTATTGATACATTATACTTGATCCCTGGGGAGTCGTGGAAAGAATTTGAAAAAGTCACACTTCTCGTTGAAACCGTGAAAAATCCTGTTTGTGTTAAAATATTTCTAAGATCGATGGGCTTCTGTTCCTACTTAGGTTCGTGCAGACTAATTGACAAATGGCAGCGACAGGCTATGGTGAATGACATCACTGTAGCAGCGCAAAGCAATATTAGCTTTACTCTGAACATATGATGAATGTGTGACCAACATATACAAGAATCCAAACCCTCTGGCTTTGGAACTGAGTCACTTCCAAACCACATTGTTTCAGAGGCTTTCCATTTATTGCCTTGTGTTTTCATGGCACGAGGAAAAATCTGGTAAGACTGAACTTGTGCGTGTGTTACGTTTGGGGTCAACTAGAGAATTAAGAGAGCTGGGCCGATAATGTAGTGAACTTTTCACTACATTTCAACTATCAGTATGAACTTTAAGGTCTGTTGTAACTTACAGCTTCTTAATACTTTTCATGTCGAAGCTCGAACTTGGACCGGAGCTCCACTTGTTACCGCTAAAATACCTTAAATTCCTGAAAACAGCATTTAAAAGTAGTTGGCCGAGTAGCTGGCTTCTGTTTAAAGACACTACTGTCAAACACTGTAAATTGATATTTGCATGAATAAGATTAACTTTAAAAAAAAAGAAAGAAAGAAAGAAATCCATTTTATGCAACAGACCACAGTGATCTCACAAACACCAGCACATCTGCCCTGCATTACCAGCCAGACACGGCAATGAGAGGAAAATTAAATAAACGTGTTCCACTGTATGCGACCACATGGAAGACAAGATAACTCGCTCTGTTCTTCCTCCGCTGTGTTTTGGCACATCTGATAGATCTGATAAAGATGTCAGAGGGTCAAGAGGTTAACTGGGAACACGCTCCCATGCACCTCTGCTTCCTCCCCCTCGATACACTGTGAAACTGGACCCTGACAAGATGGCTTTCAAAACAAATTGAGAGCTGAGAATCCCTGCACGTACATAGAAGGTGGGTTACTTTTGGTGGCACAATCTGCAAGCTTGACTCTCTCTTTTGAAGGCATAAATCAGAGGTGACTTTTGTTGGTGGATGTCTACCGTTTAAAGCACCAGCGTGGTTCGGACGTACCAGTTCTGAAGGCAGCAGCATTAGCTTTGGCAGAAGAACAGCAGTGAGATCAGAATCTCTTACTGCTAGTAAAGAAACATTTTGCTTTGGCGCCACTTCGAATGGAAGGAGCCATCACAGTTTTTACAGGCAGCTGCATGCTGAAAAGTCTATCGGAGCCAGGACATGACGGATATATATTCGAAGGGATGAATTGCCTTTTCTCGCTTGAAACCGGTCACATTTCATCCTGTCATGCACTGGAGTCCAAACGACAGCTGAACTACACTAAAACTATGGATCCAGAAAAGAAGAGTTCAGTTCTCCAGTGGATCAGTAAAAATGTTGTGCTAAAGACAAGACAGCTGGCAGTGTAAGCATCTTTTCATCACACAAAATAAATTAGATCAAGTGACCTACATTTAAAAAGCATGTTTTTTTTCTCATTCAGTATCTACAGATTTAAAAGGTTGTGCAATCAGTAAACTGCTCTCATTTACTAATAGAGTAATCTGGGTATTGAGGAGGTGAAAACACAGGGCAAAGAGGCAGGGAGGTAGTAGGAAACTTCACTAAGATGCTTCGACAGCAGTGGATTATTTTTGCTGGCTTACCAATTTCCTGTGTGGGAGGAATGGCTGTCCTGGCAGTGATGTTGAAACATACAATGGCTGACATGCAGGTCACGTCTTTGCCAGCTCTCTGACAGTCTTTCACAAAGATGTTGACCTTACTGGGCTCAAACCTGACTGTGGCATATATCCGGACAACGCTCTGTGACCTGTGAAGGCATAAAAAAGCAAACCCAAGAGATCTGAAACTGAAGAATAGCTGAAAATATGATTCTTTCACAAGGCATGCAGAAAAAGTCGCATCTGCCAATACGTTATTCTTGAAAATGTAAATCACAACTGGGATTAGAGGGAGAATCTTTGATGAAATTCATTTATAGAGTTGAGCCTGCCAAACAGTCTTTTGTGTTCTTGACAACAGTATTATTTACTGGGTGAGATACTAACCAAAGTAGAACTGCAGCACCAAGGGAACCTACTGCCAGGTCCACTAAACCATCATCATTCATGTCCATTGTGCCATGGATACTGCGGCCAAAGTACTGCAGGCCGGGAGCTAAATCTGCTGCTGCTATCCTCTGAAAAACAGACAGAAGAGGTCATGTGAGTGTGCAAGGATCACAGTAACAGCCACATTTATGCAATAATATAGTTGCTACTAATTCATTTGTGCCATGACGCTGTGCAGTTTCATTTTTGAAGATGGAGTGTGCAAACTTAATGTCAGAGGAGATAAATGCTAATTACATTCTGTAAGCTCACCTCACTTTTCATCAGCTGAGTCAGAAAGGGTTTTGAAGTACTAAAAACTGTATCACATCAAGTAATTTGCTTGCTTTGTGTCCTGCTTTTAAGGTCTCTGTGGTCTGTGTTTTTGTATTTGTAATGCAAATATTGTACTTTACATTACTACCAATCAATCTCTGATGCATACCATAGGCTTAAACTGTTCCCCACAGCTGCCTCCAGGAGCGTTTCACAGTCTGTCTCAGATTTATTTATTTTGCACATTCTGTTCATTTCTTATGCCTGACAGGCAGAGTTTCTTAAGCCAGACTCACACTACTGGGCCGATTTATCCCCGTTTCACCCCTACTGACAATCGGAGGAGAAATCTGGTCTGGAGCTGATATTTGGCCCAAATTATTTGGTAATGTGCAATTTTACAGATGCAGCCTTGAACCTCTCAAACTGCTCGCAGGCTTATCACGATTAATATTCAACATGTTTGATATTTAGGAGTTCAAATTAGGATGGCTAACGTTCTAGCTCTGTTCCTATCCAGACGTGTTTAGCTTTCTTGCTTTAGTTATTTTCTCACCACAAAGTATTATTAGCGTTACAGCAAGCTGTTGCACCACAGTCTCCATTTTGTTTACATCTGTTTCCCCCGATAGGTCACATGAGGTGTTGCATTGTTCCCTGTATTGATCCCTCTGGCAGGATAATCTTAATAATATCCAGCAGTGTGTGATATGTATGTTAGTCTGTGATTAGACAGAAGAATGTCTGTAAAGTTTTTCCCTTTCTCTGGGATTTAATCTGATTTCAGAATCTGTTAAGGTTTTAAAATTCCTGTTAACCTGGCTTTATTGTCGACCTGTTCAGCAGTTTTCCTCGGTGTGTTCCAGTCACTGCAACAGGCCATATAATCCCCACATCCACCTGCACACCTGCCTTTTATTACCTCATTAGTTGCTCTGCGTACAGAATACGCCAGGCCCTTTTGCCTCCTTTATTAGATTGTCTATAGTACTCTGTAGGCTTTCTAGTGTTGCAGTATTTTGTACTACTTTAGACTGCCTGTTTCACATTTTCGCCTGCCTTCCTGCACCTTGTCTGGCTTAGTTAGACCTCACTGGGACAGACTACCTGCTACTGACCTTAGCCTTGATTTAGGACCTAATAAACGCCTCACACATCCATACAGGTGAGCTGTTACAAGAAGGAAGATTGAAGTCTCTGCAGTATTTTTTTTTTTACCATACTGAAATACACATAAACAAATAAAAGCACATAACTCCACAGAATTACACTGGCTCCCCATTTGTTATATAATTCAGTTTAAGATTCTGTTGATTACTGCTAAATCATGCGGCTACATCTATGACCTTTTAACGCCATATTCAGAAATCTGAGAATAAATTAGTGTCAAAAGCCCCCACTGGGGTCCAGGCTTAAAGAGAAAGGGGAACAGTGCTTTCACTGTTTGAGCCCCAACAGTCTGGAACAATCTCCCCTTAACTGTCAGAACAGTTAAATCAGTTCAAAAATCTTTTAAACACCCACATGAATAGAAAAGCATTGCATTTTATTGCTTCTCTGATGCTCTGCTATTGCTCTTTTTTGGGTTTCACTGACTTTATCAATGTTTTATTGTGTTCTTTTGGTGTTTTATTGTTGTTTTTTTGATGCTTTGTATAATTTTATGTTTTGTTAAGTCCTGTTTTGAAAGGTGCCACAGAAATACAGCTTATTATTATAAATCAGAGGCTGCATGACAGTTCGTAAATTAAATGAAAAACATACTGTATGCTTTAGAAAATGAACAGTAGCAACATGTATTGTAGATGTATATAGTCAGTAGACAAAAACATACAAATGACTTGGCCTTGTCTTTTAACAGTGCGTGTAGTTTTGCGTCCTACCTGTTTATATTTGCGTAGGATCCTATTGTGCTGGCTAAAGAAAACGTAAATGGCTCCTTTGTGGTCGTCTTCCAATGGGGCTCCAACCACCAAGTCGTTAAAGCCGTCGCCGTTGAGATCTGGGACAGGAGCGAGTGATGAGCCAAAGCGAGCGTTTTGGCCACCATTATGGATTTCCAACGCTCCTTCAAGGACAAAACGATTCTGCGGATGAAGGGGAAAAAAACATATATGTCTGATGCAAGTTATATATCTTACACCAAGCGTCATAGTCTCGTTGCTTTCAGAATGTATTCTGTTCCCACTTCATAAATATCTAACGGCAGTTGTCCCCAGAGGAACGGTTTAGATTGTTTTCGACACAGGCATTTTTTGTTTTTTTCATTTGTGACTACATTCTTTGGGACTGATGTTGATAAATAGACATAAGCTTCAGTGGCGATTCCCAGAGAAGGAGAACTGGCTGCTCATCTCAGAAACTGAAGTACAACAAACTGGGCCAGTGAACAAAAACACTGTTTAGCCACAACAAAAGATGGGAAAAACCTTTTATGCATTTTCAAAGCTTGTTTCTCCTCCCACACATCAATACATGTGAGAGCAACTTGAATAACTGCTACATCATGAGAGTTATAAGTTTGTATTTTAGAATCTGTCCTATGTTTTTTGGCTAATACACTCACTTATTGCATTGCACTCGCATGATCGCTTAATCAGAAACACATTGGCGACGGGAAAACATGAGCTTGCTCCTGGGTTTGTTCAGCTTATCGTTTGCTCCATCCAGGTCATCTACCAATCGATCAGCGGGCATCCTGGACTGCTGCATCTGTGGAATAACCTTTAACGTTGACCTCTGTGCCTCCAAGATGGGCTTCAGATTTGACCAAGGTTTGCGTTTGTCTGGTCTCATTAGTCCCTGTTGCAGAGCTTTTTCCAGTGAACTATTTGGCTCTGCCATCACTTCAGGGTTAGGCCAAAGGGTCATATACTGAACAATATATACTATATTTGATATATTGGCTAGTGTTTTGGGAAATTGGTCTTTAGGAACATTTTAACCAACCAGTTTACATTCATGTCTTTTCAGACTTGAACTTTGACCCTTTGGATATAACATATTATCCCTTAATGACTTTATCCTATTAGAAATGTGAGTGAAATGCCATGATTAGTTTATATAGTCTTGAATTGTGGTTTAAAAAAAAAAAAAAAGAAAATAAGTGTTTTGTCAAGTTAAAGTTAACTTCGATTGCCAAATTCTAATCAGGTCATCCTCGAGTCCAAGTGGACGTTGGGCCAGATGAATTTCCCTTCAGGCGCTCCTGATTCATCGCATTCACAAGAATGGGACAGACGTGGAGACACAGTGACCTTTGACCATCAAAATCTAATCAGTTCATCCCTGAATTCAAGTAAGGGTTTGTGCCAAATTTGAAAAAATTCCCTCAAGGCGTTCACAAAATACTGCATTAACGAGAATGGAATGAATGGATGCAGAATCCGAAAACACTAAACTTCCGGCTTGCCAGATGCTCCAAACACAGTTTGGCTTGGAAAATGCAACAAAAACAGAATAAACTACTTTTGTCGATGTAGCTATCAATTTTTGTTAAGACCCACATGTTCCGGGGATAACGTTTACTTCTTCCTCACAATGGAAGTTAGTGACTGAACTAATGTCAGTCTAAGACCAACCTGCAAGTCACACCAGAAATACTGAATTATCGCTTAAGGGGTTAACGTACAGAGAACGCCTGATCATCCACATACTTTAAACATAACGTGATAGGCACATGCACAAGTCTTTACACTATGCACATGATGTTCACATAATATAAATACATCTATATAATAACAAGCTGAGCAGCATAAAAACTTTAATAGAAAAAGAAGTATATGCCAAATAGCACATATACCATGAGTTAAACAGTCCTACTGTAGTGTATGTCCTATTTAGCAGAGATATCCATGCCTTCTGGCACAGCTTAGTTTTCCAGTAAAAGGACTGATCTGTTCGTTATATGATCTGCCATCCATTTATTTAGACATCTCGTAACAAGACCAAGGAAGTTATTGTCCTCTCTGCCCTCCATCCAGCTGGGTTTGTTGTTTCAATTATCTCAAAACTATCTTTACACAACTAATCATGTTGTAAATTATACAGGAAAAAGCAACAAACAAGATTTTTCATCTCTCTTTTAATCAAACAAAAGATTACTTTTGGATTAGCAGCTTTGTTTTCCATATAATTCTTTAATTCTTCCTGTTTGAAGTCAAATATTTTAAACATCTGGCAACAACAAAAGTGAGGAATTTTACCTCCGGTGGTAAAAGTTCTAAAGAATGCCATATAGCTTTGATATATTTATTTGAAGTTCTATTCTTAGTGAGTGTTAAGTCAGATGGAAGATATCCATGTCTGTCTTTGAAAGCAAGCAGCCGACTGGAAATTTTTTTTTAAAGAAAGCAATCTTACAAAATGGAGCCAAACACTCGAGTCCATCAGTAGTCATGCATATCATTGCTCCACTTGGCATCAAAGTTCCTAATATAATTTAGGGCTGGCAGACGAAACATGAGATCACTTGTTTTTACAGTTGAATAAGTGGGAAGGGAGTTGATTTAGGAAAGTAGCTTTTACTTCTCGGCTACCTGATGTGTGCATGTGTGACAAAGAGGGAGATTGATAGAGAAACAGGGAAAAATATATTCAGCGCTGTTTAAATTTGAAACATATGGTCTGTGAGAAGGCCATGAAGGGTCACCACCAGTCTGCAGTCGCCCAGGAGTGAGTTAGAAGTGCAACTTCTCGATGTGTCAGACAGTGGATGGAATTTTATTTCTGACCAGCTGCCAGACTTCAGGTAACTTTGTTTAGCTTTGGACATACTTCAGCTTCTGTCCTTTCAGGTGTTGGCAGAGCCTTCAGTGCTGAACGTATCCTGTACTCAAGAAATATATAATATTGAAATAATTTCCGAGAACATTCCACTTATAGCACTTTTTTGAGGCAATACAGTCTCATATAAAGTTAAAATGATTCAAAACAGAGCAATATCTATGATGGATAATCAAGACAAAAGCCAAGCAGCATCAACACAACAACAATAAATCTGCAATGATTCATTTTAGGCCTCTTGATGGCAGCAAAAACAAGACGTGAATACAGGATTAACATATAGTGTCCTTGTTTTGGTTTCCACCTGTTTTTAGGGAATATTTTTAGCCATTTTACTGATAAATGCTCTACTAGGTTCATCAACCAGATGCTAACTGTGGTCAGCTCAGCAGGTAAGAAAGTCCTCCTGCTCCTCAGGATAAGACTCAGCAGCCTATTTGTATCTGAAGGATAACGGGCAGCCCGTTGAGGACAGCAGTGGACACATTCTGGACAAAGGACAGAGATGGCTTAGAGTTGGAAGAGGAGTTAAGGAAGCTATCCATGTCAAACTGAAATGGGCATCTCTAAACAGAGAAGGGAAATTACAGCACCACTTATCAGGTACTTATAGTGCAGTCCTGACTCTAACCCTAACCCGACCAAGTCAGTTAGAACTGGAAGCCTCTTAGATGGGGGGTGAATAGTCTTCAAGAACCAAAAAGAAGTCCAGTGTCTTTTTACCAAAGCACCTAGAATTACATAATGACTTAGATGCCTGAGAATCTACACAGACATGGTGAGAGTGAACCAAAAACACGAGCTAAGAGATGCTACAAAGCACCATAGAGCTGATGGGAACTGCAGACTTGGTGGGCAACTGTCTGCCACTACAGGCTATACCTTTCACACATGAGAACGCTATAGAAAAATATTGATTATAATCACTTTAACAGGCAAAACTTACAAAACTCAACAGCTATTTATTAGATGATGCAGACATTAAAAGGAACCTGACAGAAAATGGGCATCTACTCTAGTGTATCTACTAATAGCATGGCTGAAAATTGGCAGAACAGTATGTGCACAGAGGCAGTGAAAATGAATCTGTGCCTTTTTTTTTTTTTTTTTAACAGTATATTAAATATGCAGTATCACATTGAGGATGTAAAATATTCATTGTGACCACAACGACACATTTTTGAACCAGGGAGTACAAACTTAAGTAGTTTTCCAGAACAGCATCACTGAGCAGCATCTCCAGCAACACCTGAATCAACCACATCATCATTATTAATCACCCAGAACAAATGTGCCATTCCCGTCCTGATGATGACAGACAGTTTTAAAAGAGTGATTTCTGTTTGTGTTTTGCTTTAAAGCTCGGGCTGCCACCTGTGATGTGGTTTGGGCCACACCAGATATTTAAATACCTCTCCTTTGCCTGTTTCGTGGATTCAAAACAGCTGAAGACATCCATTATTCCAATGAGCAAGACAGACCTGGAACACCGGGAAATTTCCTTCTATTAAAGAAACTTGTCGCCCTCCAAATGGTTCTCTGGAAATGGGTTTAGAGGAGGCAGAATATTTTCCTCTTGAGTTCATTCTACACATCTAATAAAGTCTGCACACTGGCATGGCAGAGATCTCTCATTTGATCTGCACATTTGATCTGGACAAGGTCATGTGTCAAATGTCTGCCTGCAGCATGTCAGCGTGTTAACTGTGGCGCTGGAATGCAACGGAGTCTGGTTTGGTGTGTTACCGGACACTTCTGGTGAGGAGTGTTAGAAATATTGGGTAAGTCTGGAGTTTGAACAGGTGTTGACCCAGTTTGGTGCAGTGGGTTGCCTGGCCGACAGCAGATTAATACCTGTATGTGGCCAGCCTCTGTGGAGTTTTCTACTTACCAGCTCTGTTACTCTGTAGATGTAGACTTTCCCTTTCTCCAAGCCTGCATTGAAGAACATCGGTGCTGCCACGAGAAGGTTGTCAGTGATACCGTCTCCATCAATATCCACAGGTGCAATCTCACTGCCGTAGTAGGAGCCAATCTGAAACAAACGTCATAAATGCAAACATCAGTCACTTGTTTCTTGGAAAAGTTATTTAACCAATGTAAACCCCATGATAAATGTCATCCATCCATCCATCCATCTTCTCCCGTTTATCTGGAGTCGGGTCGCGGAGGCAGCAGCCTTAGCAAAGCCGCCCAGACTTCCCGATTCGCACACACCTCCCCCAGCTCTTCAGGGGGGACCCCTTGGGGTTCCCAGGCCAGCTGGGAGACATAGTCCCTCCAGCGTGTCCTGGGTCTTCCCCGAGGTCTCCTCCCAGTGGGACGCGCCCGGAACACCTCCCCAGGGAGGCGTCCAGGAGGCATCCGGAAAAGATGCCCGAGCCACCTCAACTGGCTCCTTTTGATGTGGAGGAGCAGCGGCTCTACTCTGAGCTCCTCCCGTGTGACTGAGCTCCTCACCCTATCTCTGAGGGAGCGCCCGGCCACCCTGCGGAGGAAAGTCATTTCGGCCGCTTGTATCCGCGATCTCGTTCTTTCGGTCATTACCCAGATCTCATGACCATAGGTGAGGGTTGGGATGTCGATTGACCGGTAAATCGAGAGCTTTGCTGCCTTGCTCAGCTCTCTCTTCACCACGATGGTCTGGTACAGCGACTGCAATACTGCAGACGCTGCACCGATCTGTCTGTCAATCTCACGTTCCATCCGCCCCTCACTCGTGAACAAGACCCTGAGATACTTGAACTCCTTCACTTGAGGCAAGGAGTCTCCACCGACCCGGAGAGGGCAAGCCACCTTTTTCCGGTCGAGAACCATGGCCTGATAAATGTCACAGTTTGCCAAATGTACGTAAAGCCTATCTTGCTATTTATTGAACCGCACATTAATTGGGTTTGATGAATTGCTGATAAACTCATGTGGCTGTTGAACTTGAATATTGTGGCAAATGGCGGCCTGTGTTGTGTCACAGAAAGTAATCAGAGTCCTGATACTTCTGATGATGCTCAGGCTGCCAGAGCTTCACAGAGGGAGTCTGGAGTCACCGGAGTGGATGGAACATCATCTATTGGTTTTCAGATTAGAAACATCTGCCTATAAAAAAAAAGCTCTTTGCTCAAAATCTGTGAGATCAAGAAAGTTTTCTGCAGAAAAACATCTGCCGTTCTGGATGAGCTCTTGCTGACAAGGTACAATGTAAGCTGCTGCGAGATCACTTCAGGCTCTCGGCCTGTGAACAGATGCCAGTTCTGAGTGTAGTGGTCATTAACACACAGAGCCACATCCTCTTGAAATGATGACCATCTATAAAATTAATATGACTCAGACAATTGGACTAGGACCCAACAGATGATTTGTTGTATAGTCAAAGTCGTAAAGCTAAAATTAAATAACAACAAAAATAATTTATAGTAAAATTTTTTTTTTTTTAAAGAAAAAAAAAGTCAACCGTGATAGAGATAACAGCCTTTTATATACAGTGATCTTGTCTTTATGTCGACTTGCAACAACTGCGCAGTTTGTTATGTTTATGCCATTTGGACTGTAGCAGTGGAGCATTTACTGAGCTCAAATTACAAAATGAAAATCCTTTTGGCTATTGGCCTTTCCCGCTGCAAAATACTATGTGTCACAATAATTTTTCCAGCCATTTCATCTAATTTTATATGTTCCTGATTAGGAATTATTCTAATGCTTTCCAAAGTTAAATTAACAGGATAAACTGGGCACTAAAATCTCAAAAACAGAGAGACAGAGAGCAGATCTATCCCAAAATCTGGCTGAATTAGTGGTCCACACTGCACACTGTGTAAGATCATGAAAAGAAGTGACTTGAGGATGGTTTTCTCTCTTTTCGTAAGAACCTACTGTAACTATCTACAGTGACACTAAAGAACCTAGTTAGCAATTTTGACAAGCAGTGGTGTACTGGCAATCGGTCATACTCGGATAAATCCTGCCTGGCTGCTGAAGCTCTGTACAGTCAAAAAAAAAAAAACCAATAGAACATCCATTAAAATTTTTACCCTCTGTCTGTCTGTTTGCTTGTTTGTTTGTTTACTGGCCCAACAGGCAATGGTCAAATATCAAAAACAGCAGTTCCTCAAATGACCACTTGAGGCTGGCTACAAAAGCGAGTCAGTCGCTATAGACCAGGGGTCTCCAATCCTGGTTCTCGAGGGCCACAGTCCTGCATGTTTTAGATGTTTCCCTCTTCCAACACACCTGATTCAAATGATCAGCTCATCATCAAGCTCTGCAGAAGCCTGATAACGATTCTGATCATTTGAATCAGGTGTGTTGGAAGAGGGAAACATCTAAAACATGCAGGACTGTGGCTCTCGAGGACCAGGATTGGAGACCCCTGCCATAGACCCTCATATTAAAATGCTCAACTTATATCAGAAAATAAACATGTTTGCAGCCTGGTACAAAAATGGTATTAGTCCCTATAGTTAACTTCTAAGTTCAGGACAATTGTACAGGGGTTGAATGTTTATGTAACTCACCTGTTTAAATTGTACTAAGGCTTAAAATGTGTTGTCTTTATCTAAAACCATGAACAACTCCATTTGAGTTGCAGCATCTAAAAGACACTGTGGCAAACCCATGCATGTTGTTAAACGGCTGAAAAGAAGTGGCTGCGTACACCGACATTGTCTTACAAAAACCCACAACATGACAACAATTTGTAAGATGTCTCTGAGGTTCTTATACCCAAGTTAGCTGCTCTTCATAAGCAGCAGTGCAGCATTCAAATGTATGACATTTCTTATTGCTATGTTCAAAGCAGAAATGTGGACTGCATCAACTTGCATATAGCTGATAAAGTCTTTATGTAATAGTCTCAGTGCTGGATGTGGCTGTACCTGCTGGCCTTTGAGGGAGTGCAGGATGGTGAGGTTGCCTGAGTTCTTGAGAGTGAAGATGATGACTTTGCCAGTGTGGTTGAATCGTGGAGCTCCTGCTACGAGCAGACGACCGTTTCTGGCTGACACCACAGACGTCACAGTGTAACCTGGTGATGTAAAACACACACACACACACACATGACTTCAGGGAACAAACTGCTGAAGCATGTAGATATATAGATTTGTTTTACCCACCTAAGTAAGCTGAAGTATGTCCAAAGTAAGTAATTAAGTGAACTGACTGCTTGACAGTGAAAATGTAAATAGAATATCATGCACAGTAAGCGATTACGTTTTACTTCACTGTTTGTTTATGTGTGATGAGGAATGGACCTGCTCTTTAGGTTGAATTTTATAGCCGCGATCTGCGTGACTCAAGGAAAAATTGTAAAATGCTGCAATCTGAGGAGCTAAAACTCAGCAAGCTGCATTCAGTTACGCAGGACTCGATGTTCTGGTTTCTCAGGTTTCTCATATTTCTTCTTCTATTTCTTTTATTTCTTCTTTTCCCACTAAAGATTCCACTTACTCACTGTATACTTTTCCACCTTCATCTCTCATCTTCATACCTCTTTTTTTCCCAGCATTAACTTTCTCCCTGCCTGTCCAAAATTATGCTTCCACCTCATATTACTATTGAGACTAGAATGGCTTCCATTGGCAGGCTGGTGGATAAGCTCATAGACAAACCGCTGATGGTAAAAGCAGAGGTCTGTGGTGGTGGAGTGAGATGGGGTTGGATAGGATGGGAAGCACTCAAGCAGTGGGTACACTTTACAGAGCTGGGCTGCCGCTCGGACAACGGGTGCTAAACCACAGGTCTTTTACTGAGGAAGCCATACATCTATTCACCGAAAAAAAAAAAAAAAGGATGTAAACAGAAACTAAATGCTGATGATTATGGGAGTAAATGCTTCATTGGGTCTCTGAGCTTAAAATAACATTTTCCTTTCCGTCATTTCTTTTTTTAACCATATTTGTTAAAACTCAAGTCCTGATTTTTCCACTCTTTCACAGTTCTTTATGGTGTTACGTACCCAAGTAGGCACCGTGGTTCTTGAGCTCTTCGGGGAACTCGTCAGCGTAGGACGACTTAGGAGGGACCACCTTCCCCTGCCGAGTTTCCTTCAGCACTGCTCCGTTCCAGTCGTAAGCCCCGACAGCACCAACCAGAATCCCATCCTGTAGGTGAGGTGCACTAAAGTTACTTCTGATATTTAAACCGCATATATAATGTGTACAGCAGAGTTAAAGAGAGCGATCGGTCTGTGCTGCAGACACACACACACAGTACCATAATTGCTGTATATGATGGCACTCGTGGAGCGTTATATGCTCTAACCACCATTTTGGAGCAAAGTCTGTGTGTTTGGCTCACCTTCACTTCAGTCAGATTAATGGTGGTGTTTCTCCACTTGTGGTCAAATGTATTCCTGGTAACAGTGATAAACACAAACTCTAAGGGGGGCTCTTATGAAATTTTTGCATTACTTTAAAAGGACATGAGGAAAATCGAATTAGTTCTCTCTCCAACAGTGCATTTCATCACTTTCACGGACATGCTGCTACAGCAAGAACACACTGAGGTTTTTATAAATCACATCTTATGTAAGTGTGTGTCTGATCTAGTACATTAAAGTTAAATAAGGTCCTACTTTACGAAAGACTGAACCTAAGATGTGTATGAGGGTTAATGAAAAAGTTTCTGAGACTGTTTGTGGTGCAAAAAAGTTCAAAAATCAAACTCAAGTTGAAGTGTTGCTGTTTTGACATGATTTGAAATTTAGCATTCATGGTGTTTGACATGTTTACATAACAGAACTTCCAGTGAGCATTACAAGCGTTACAGATGTGCTGCTTTACTCCACAAAGAGACAACTTCAACAGAGATGACAGCCAAATGTATACTTTCTTTTATAGGTAACTTTTTGATAAACCCTTGTATGTATATTGTATGTATGTACGAGTGGCTGAACGACTATTTTGTTATGTTTTTTTATCTTATCCTCTTTAATGTTCTTCTACGTTTTATTATAAAGCACTTTACGTTTGCCTGTGTATGAAATGTGCCATACACTTAAAACTGACTTGACTAAATCCAAGCTTATGAACATGGAGAACACGATCAATGAGGATTTCAAGGCAAATGACTCTGTGTATATTTCTTCGCATCAGTAAGCTGCATTTAAATAATTTGTCAGACAAGAACTATCCTTAGATTGAGTCCTGAGCTCCATCAAAGCTGTCAGGTTATTATTTCACTTTGCAGTCTGATCAATTTACTGAAGTCATCATATTTTTCTGTCATATAATCTTTGTTTTATTACCACAATGTTTCAGTTTTACAGTTTCACAGCTGGAAATATGCTGTTGTAGCCTGATTATTGTGCACATGGATGGGCTTCCATAACTATATACAGTATATATATAGAAAATGACCTGGCTAATTAAGATGCCATTGCTTGTCGAATCTGTTTGTCTATCTGGGAATGCGACTGGCATGTACGTCAGACTTTTGCTGTGTTAAAGGTGACACAAAAAAGTTACCAGGTAAGATTGGCATGAGGTTTTTTTTGTTGTTTTTAAGTGACCAGGGTGCTCATTTGGACAAGAAGCTGACACGTTCAAGTGTCATCAGATAGAAGGAAAGCAGAAATGTTGCCATTTAAAGGTCTCTTGTCTTTAAATAACTACTTCATACTATCTGAGTCTGATCTTCAACAACTCAGTCTTATGTTGCTAAACAAGAGATCACAAACTTTCCAGTGCAATAAGTCTCACAGATCAGTCAAGGGTTGAATAGGAAAACCAGATTTTCCTCTTCCATTACAGTGTACCAGCCAATTCCAATATGAAGAGGCAAGGTACCAGTTCTAATCTGAGCACAAATACACCTTATTTGTCTCTGACAGACTATGACTAATAATAGGTGCAATAGGTTAGATGGAGGGCTTTAACTTGGAAGAATGAGGTTTATATTCTGGGTGAAGCCACAATCTAATGTTGTTGTCTTTAAGCATGACTATGTTTGTGTGTTTGAAGCTCTTAATTGTCTGGTGGGAGAAGCTCAGAGCAGCGAGGGAAAAGCTGCAGGAGGAGGGCTGTATATGTTCAAATTTTAGTCTTTCTTGCCTTTTCCAGATTTGTACCTATGCCAGCTTTAATATAAAACAGTCTACTTTTAGTTTACTATGGAACTCATTTGAACCACTGCTTTTTACACTGTAAACTCTTCTTTACCTTTGAGCTACAATACCAGCTCCCCCCAGCTTAAAAGTGAACCCATATTTAGAATGCATATACTGTAAATTCCTCATCAGGGTCCAATCTTGTTGTTTATTCTTTCAGGCGGTTGAATATGACCCATATTGACAGGTTAAACCTGACAGGAATCGATCTCTTGTTATTGCTAAAGTCTGAAACTAAGCAACCAGTGAGACATTTAAACATAGAGAGAAACAACAGCGCACAAAGAAAACGAAATCTACTTTGAAGTCGATTATCAAATCACTGCAAAGTCTTGATCGGTGTATTTTTAAGTCGTCATTACAACAAAGGAAACAAACTAGCAAGTGCAATTAGTTGTAGACACGAGGAGGGATAAAGGAGGGATTTTCTGTATTCCATGGTTCACCATACTTTGTATCACTGACACTGTAATTATAGGGTTCCTCTGCTTAATGAGCTCAGTGCCTTTTTCTTGCTGTACACAATATGCCGACAACACACTTTCCAGAGTTTGAGCGTGTGCTGGAAGGCTTGCAATTCCTTCCCAAAAGATGGAATTGTGTGCTCACCACGCTTGAACTACGTCACCATCTCACAGCAGCGTTATGCCAGTGTGGTTATCTGTTTTGGTCAAAATGGTTTCCATGGCAAACGAACGAAACCCCAAAACAGTTCAACCTTATAATACAGTGACCTATTTCCACTGCAGTTGCATGTATGGACATATGCCTTGCTTTAGTCAGGATATCATCTCTATATTGTACTGGACAAGGCCAGAGCTGTGGTTCTACATAATATACACAACAGTGTCTATATATACTAGCTCATCAAACCAGTAATGTATACTCTGCATTGTGATAAATACAGAAATAACTTGTGCAAAGAAGCTACAAGCTGCACAGTTTTACAAATGCAGAGCCTCGATATTATTTTACCCCATTGTTTAGTTAAAGTCAACAAACAACAGCTGGAGAAACTGCTACAAATGCAGATGCATGAGACGCCTGTAAAGTATATGACATAAGCAGCCTTCAGAGTTGGCACCTATCACATTCAGCAAAAACCATCTGGGCCTTCACGACTGTTTTTCTCCTTTAAAGGACCAACATTCTTTCCAATAAATTATCCTACTCTCAACACTCAGGTTGGTGTTGTTGAGCATCTCTGGAATCTGGCCTTGTGGACAGAATTTCCAGCCATCGCTGCCACCCAGCTGCAAACTCTTCAATATATTTATTTTTCATCATAAATTGGATTCATTTATTTCCCCCCTGACAAATCACACTGTGAAGGGGAACTGGAAAATCAAAGCAGTTGCATCAGCAAACGTCTCTAAAGAGCCAGGAGGAGTGGAATGAAAATTAATGAAATGGTATGAACGGCAGGTACAGTAGAGGAGATGTGCCTTATCTTCCCCTTCCAGCTGTGTCACTGGGAAAGCCAGCACACCTGCAACCGTCTGTCCCCAGATACAATCTAAAAACTTCAAGGAAGCCAAAGAAAAAACAAGCCATTCTGAAGCTGAACTGTCTCAGTTTCTCACTAATATGTTTCGCTGGGGAACAAGTGGTGTCATGTGTCCTGTGGCTGCAGTGGAAAAAAGCCTGTCTCCCTTGTCAGTGGCTCCTAAATCAGGATGACCTAAACCGCTGGGGCCACACAGCAGGCACCCCAGGGGGGGCTGGAGAGTGATAAATGGCAGGTTGCGAGGAGGAGTTATGACGCGGCAGAAATTGAGACAATGTGTGTTGTCGTTATTGACAGATGGTACGAGACAACGTGGTAGCAAAAGTCAAACTCACCTCGACGTTGTGCGCAGAAAATCCAGCCTGAGACATCTGGAGACCAAACGCTGTCCCATTCTTACTGGTTCCTGTGTAAACAAGTCAGTCTTTTAGAGTTTTGAAACAGAGCAGCATCAGAGCACTTTCATCTTTTAGCCACAGTTGTAATGTCAAAGGAATGGCGTTGGAGTCTCAGTGCGAACATTTCACATTTGAAGATGGCCTGCAGGGAAAGATCTATTTATTTTTACCTTGTTAACGTGTTCATATGGTGGTTTTTATACATTGGAAGGCTTGATGAGGCTTGATGAGATAAACAAGCGCTCATGGCCGAGCATTTTGATCTTAAACCTGCAGTGTATTAATGACGGTCTCAAAAACAGAAATTCAGTCTTCTGGTGTTTCATATGCAACAAAAATAAAGAACCGAGTCTGTTAACTTTGCCGGGTGGGACTTTGTGCATCATGAGTCTCTGTCAGAATCAGTTTCAGACTTTCAACATGTCTGCCTGATACTACAGCTTGAAATTGTGTAGCACGGAGTAGTTTTACAGTGTTTGAGCAGATTAGTAGGTGAGCTGGTGTGCTCGAGTCACAGTGAGCAGAGGACGGAATTCCAAAGATTTATTCGTTTTCAGAAAAGCAACGGTGTAGCGTTGCATACAAGTCATCTTAGGGCATGGAGGGATTATTTTCACAGAAAATCTTCTACGTCTGTATCTTTGATACACAGAAATGAACTGTGGGATTTTAATCGTTGACTAGAAAAGGACTTCAATTTAATGATTAGATGTCGGAGAGTTTTAAGTGTCTTGTCATGAAGCAACGTGCTTAAATGTTTAAGTTTAACATTTTTGGTGGTAAATCAATGGCCAAACAGGGACGTTAAGAGATTTAAGAATTATTTTCAGATATTACTGGTGCATGACAACTACAGCTGCAACTAAATATTACTTTGATGACTTTCAGTTAAATATATTAAATTGATTAATTTCTGATACATTTCAGACACGTTTAGGAAAAGGATAATCACAATGGACAAGGAAATGGACAAGGAAACTAGTTCAGACATCTTATGTTAGCAGGCTAAACCCAAACTTTACTGAATTTAGTTATATAAGAGAGAAATGTACTAACATTTAGAAACTTTGACAAATATGCTTAATTATTTTTGCTTAATTGAGTAACTGAATAAATTTAACTGATCAATAAAGAAAAAAGAATACATTTCTGTTATCAGATACTAGATTAATCAGTCTTCCTAAAGAATTTCTTTGGGATAAATAAAGTTTTGTCTTATCTATTTATGAGGTTTGAGTGAGAAACTGTAGTCGTTCATTTCAGAGCAAAGGAAAATTAATCTCTTGAAAAACCTTCCAAACTGAAGATGCGCTCTCCAAGTGCATCCACAATATCCTTCAGCGCCGACTCGTCTGTCACATTAAAGAAGTGTTTGTCATCTGGGTCACTGGCAATGTACTTGATTTCATTGAGGAAAGCCTCAGGATTGATTCCTCTACGGTTGTAGTAGCCAAGCACCTGTGGAGATAAGAATAAAGAATCTGTCACTGAATGCATAAAGTACTGGAGTGTCAACTGGTGTAATTAATCCATCACATTTTAATAGCCTTATAACAGATCAGCATTAGCACTCTTTGAGAAGGTTTCAAAGGATTGTAGTTTTCGACATCAATGCCAGCGCTGCCACCAGTTCCAGCTGGTTTTCAACCAAATGACTTCAGAGCTTTTGCTCAGATGCCCAACAGAACCACAGGATGGAATCGAGTGTGCCATTAGCTGTACCAGCAGTGGCACAAACCAAACAGTTCTGTGGGCTGGAGGAGATCATTTACACCTTTAACGGCACTTCCACTGAGCGTATATTTGCAGCTTTCAGAGGGCTCTGAGTGTTTTGGCTTCATTCTAGCTCTTGAGAGACCTGCTATAACTGAACCCAATGAGGTCACCTCATTAATGTTTATGGTGCAGCAGTGCTGCACAGGAAATTTATTAGCCACCAGAAAACCCAAGTTGAAACTAACTAAGCCATCCAGGTGAATAATAGGTCTAGCAGACTCACGGCAATGGCATAACGGGTGATGCCATCCTTCTCACTGTCCTCGATGGCCTGCTGGAGATCGGCACTGTCATGTGACTCTCCATCGGTTATCACTATCATCACCTTCTTGGCTCCACGTCGACCTCCGTGCTTGAAAGCTTGTGAGCTATAAGAAGGTGTTTGAAATGTTCAGTAAAATAAACTACCGTAATAAAATCGTGCTGCTTGTTTGCGTGAATGGGGATACTGTACCGAGCAATGTTGATGCCAAGAGCTGTGTTGGTCTCCTCTCCACCTCGCTGGTTGATGCTGCGCGCCCTTTTCACCACTTCTTCAACTGATTTGTAGTCGCTAAGTTTGAATTCATGGACCACCTTCTCACCGTACTGAACGACTCCAACCTGCTCAGAGAAACACAATAAGAGCTTTGACTTCCTGCAGATAAACCTGTAAACCCCTAAACCCAGTTTGAAAGGTATGTTGTTTTTTTCTTTTAAATCAATCACCAAAATTACACCGTTTATCAAAACTAGAAATCTATAAAACATAAAAAAATCCTTGTATTATGAACTTCTGGTGGTCCTTGAAGTCCTTTTTTTATCAGGAAACGTAACTAAAATGGACCATTAGCTTGACCCAAATTCTATAAAAACAAAAATGTCTGCATTCTGCGATGCAACTGAAAACGCTGTGACAACCAGACTTTTTGACAAATTGTAGGCTGTGTTTACTCAGATCAGACAAGTACAAGTATGGACGAAAATTAAGAATGCTAGTCATGAAACATATACAGTATGGAGAGTTGCCAAATTTTCCAGCAAGGGTAACACTTGTGCACACTTGGACAAATGTTGGCATCAGGTTTTTTTTTTCACTTTTTCTAAAACAAATAATCCAACACAATCAACTTTTGTTTCTTCTTTTATTATGATTGACGGCCTTCTAACTGAGTCACACTGCATGAAACATATTTTGGAGTTCTCTCTACTTCTAGTCATGGTTGTGCTGTTCCCATAGAGGTGCAGGACTTCATATTGCAGTGAAAAATGAGCCCACAGTTAGTAAAAATGTAGCAAGAGCAAAAACCACCCAGAACCTGCTTGGAGTTAAGAGGGTTAACTCATCACAGGTGCAAAAAAACTTGATGTATCCAACAGGGAATATTACCAATATATCTAATCTTCCTTTAATATTCTCTACTGTCTTACACACCTGTATTTGACCAGGTCCAATATAGAACTTCTGAAGAATGTTGATGAGAAAAGCCTGCACTTCATACCAGGGGTAGATGGAGTTCGAACCATCGAGAACAATCACGATGTCCATGTAGGTTTCACATCCTGAAAAACATTTGAAGATATGAGACACGTGAAGCAAACTGATGGGAAATGTTCCTGTGCTGCTACTCAGAATAAATCGATGAATCTCTTTTAAACACAAGATGTTTTAAAGCTTACTCTGAAAGGCTGGCGCAATCGTTCTGGAGAACTTAAAGCTCGCATTGACTCTGGAGCATATGCCAGTGCTGTAGTAAGAGCTGCCACACTCATATGACCACAGCGGCCCACAGGCCTGAAACAAAAGAAACCATTTATACAAGCAGCATCATCAACCTCAGCACTTTACAAAACGACAGGCTTATGCTGTCTGAGGAGTTGTGTAGCGAAAGCAGCGGTATGACAACTGTGTAATCAAAGGAAAACCTTGTGGGAATGTTCTTTTTTTGGTCTTTTTGATGACTTACACTCACTCAAAAAGTAATGCACCAACAGACCATAACTCTACACGATGATGAAGATAAATATAAGGAGGTTTTCAAGTTGTTCTCACCACAAAGCTGTTGTCTTTCGGGTTCGATGCGAGCGTCATTCCCAGCCTCATCTTGTCCTTTCTCTCTGATACGTTGGTCAAAGATATCCTTCCTTGAGGGAAAATGAATTTCGCTGAGAGGATCTCAGATGCACAGTGTCACATCTATATATACATAAACACGTGCGCTATGCCTCCAGAGAACAAACAGGAGTTCCACCATCTGGTACTTTGGTTTGTTATTGCTGTCTGGCCGGCTCAGAGCAGCGTCTACATCCTGAGATCTAAATGTTTACTTGACAAAACTTCATGTGAGTACCTAACCAGGACAACACGTGCAACCCGTATGAAGAGGCATGCGGTAAAATGTGTGGTAAAACACACATGTGGAAATGTACATAAACCATTAAAAAAAAATAATAAAATGTGGAATGGTAGGTATGGCACCCACAGTTCTGTCTCACACATGTCACCGTGATTGCTACTGACACGTGGTGAAAATCAAGCAGGCATATAAACACGTATATAATACATGCATACACATATATCCAGATGTTGTACATGCATGATTGTCGCTGATACTGAATATCCTGTGATGCTCTGGTGAGAAGAGAGTGGTGTTTAGTAATACTGTACCTAAGTTGAGCTTGGAGCAACCATTTCCATTGGTTCGTTTGCTCAGTGAACATTTATAAACATCTCCTGTCTGGTAAGGACCGTTCATTTCATACGGGGCTCCCACTAATAACCTGCAAAAACACACAATCCAAAAGTTAGAACAGCTTAAATGGTTATCAGTATTAAAGTGTGCTTTACAGTCAACTCAGAGCAACCTTTTCTTGTATTTTAGTTAGGTTTCCGTCTGGTATCTAACTCTCTGAGGGAAAATGACGGTGTGACTGTTAACATCAGTGACCCACACAAAACACATGGGCTGACCATGAGATTTCAAACCTTTATTTTTCCAGGGAAGTAACTGGTGTTTAATCACATCCAGAAGCACTAGCCTCATATTCATAAACAGTTTCACTCAGTCACACCCAGTAGCTGGCCAGTAAAACCAGCGGATCTCTCGTGAGTCATGGTGTTACCGTACGACCGTATCTCCTGAGAAAGTTCACATAAAGTGCAGAATATCTGATCTCAACAAAAAGGATTCTCCGCAGAGTGAAGTCATGACAGGTGGTGTTGAAGTTGCTTTTCAATCGGTAACAGTGTGTAGGAGTTTTCTCATTTATATTCAGGCTCTCTCAAGTTTTCCACTCAGAAAACCTGCTTTTGCTTTGTCATTGTGAAGTATTGTGTGACGTGAAAAAAAGAAGGAGCTGAAACCAGGTCTGAAACTTGAAAGGGTCTGAAAAATTTCCATATGCGCTATATCTGATCATAGAACTAAAGACGCCAACAGATAGCATGCAGTGCCGCCGCCATCTCAATTGTTTTTGATATAAACACTTGTCAGATGTGCTGCTGAAGTCAGCGGTGAGGAGAAGGAGGGCGGCTGCCGTGCACAACTTTGTGCTGCTGGATTCAGATTTTACGATGGTTCAACTTTTTTCAGCTTGGCACCATGGCTCACTGTGTGGCCAAAGTAACTACAGAAAGTATGCAGTAAACAAAGATTCTAATTTTACTGACATCTGACTAATCTAAAATCAGCATTCCCTATATTTTCATTTTTTATCTAGTTCTAGGTTCAAAATCAGATTATATTAAATGGACACCAGTGGTCTGTGGTGTACATGTACAGGCTGTACGATCAGAGGATGCACTCTGCTGTCGCCAATTCAAAATAGGGATTGATTGATACGGTTTTTCCAGGGCCAGTGTCCATATCAATCAGTATGATATTTAGAATCAATATACACTAAATGGTATATATTAACAGCATGTGATAGCAGGGGACCTGCTATTTATAGCCAGGCTTCTTCAATAATAAGGATTACAGAGTGACTACAGACAGGCTTTGGCT